ATACCTGGTCGGAACATCACACTTGATTTTGTTTGCGACACTTAGTCGCAGACTGGTCGCTGCGGATTTCCGTGCATTTCTGGGATTGTTGACATGAGCGTCCCCCTAATCATTTGTGCCATGCAGAAAATGACACTTTTGGAGCATTTGACGCCTTAGAAGCCACACTGTGACATAAAAGCTTTGGACAAACCGCACAGGACCTATACGTTTGGATCCGTGTGGCTGGGTATGTGCTCGAGTGGCAGCTTATACATCGTGACAATCAAAGACGAAAGGAAACCAGAGAATCATGGCAAAATCGCTTAGGTTGATTAGTGCCAGGCGTAAGGGGCCCAGGTAGTTAGCCACTGTGACTTGTCTACCAAGTGCATGGAACTCCAATTTTACATTTCCAAGTCCGCATCAGTAACAACCCTTGACAAACCGTTTGAATGCTTTGATATTGCAGTCTCGTAGGAATAGTTTCAGACGAACCTCTCAGGCTGGCCGACGAATTCCGAGTCTTGCCAGTTGGAATTTGAGAGAAAAGAGAGCTAGAGGGCTTTGGTCCCACTTCCATATAATGTTGACACTCGTCAAACCATTACATAGTCTGCATGGTAGCAAAACTACCCATAAATGGCACTATGAGTCAAGGATAGTAAGGCATTCGAACATGGTCCGCAGTAAGATTTACCATAGTCGAATGGTCAGTGCATGGTGGAAGTCGATTCTTTCAAACGATGCAGGGAAGCAAAGCCTTAAATATATAATATACAAAATATGGAGGTTTTGAGCGTTTGCACCTTCGATGATACTTTACAAGTCTATGCCCAAAATTGGTCGTAATGATAGAACGATAGGACCTAGCTTGTAGCATAGTAAGGCGCGTGCCAGGCGCGTGCGCGGCGAGTCTGAGTAGCGCGGCGATTCGATTTAGCTGATTTGAACCTTGCGATGTGACCGGACATCTCGATCGGCGGTTTCAATTTCACGGGTTTCAAATTTACGGTACGCCATTCCGAAGCAGGCATGCCGTCAACAGTGTTACTCCACGTGGTCCGTCTGCAGCTGGTGCTTGGCACGTCTGCATGAAGTCAAATTTTGGCTGGACGGCGCGGCGATTTGTTTTGCTCGGGGACCCCGCAGTAAGCTTAGAGCCGAGTTACTGAAAAAGTGTAGATACACTCCGAGCTCTCCGCTCGGAGTGTATTTTCTATTTTTCACCGCCTTGCACAAGCGTGCGAGGTTTCTAATGCAACTGGACACACCTCAAAAACAGGGGTTAATACATTGGGTGTAAAACTCAAACTCTTGCCGCTCTCCAGGGCTTTCCGCTCTGATTGCCAAGACTGCCAAGGCAGACGGTGTAGCCACGCGCCGCAACAAGAAATCCCCCCAGGACACCTCCGCCGGCGGCAACTCAGCCGCTCTCGCGGGCGCATCGGGTGCGAACAGCGCGGCGCACGCGCCCGGCAACGCCGCGGCCGCCTCACCACCGCATGACGTCAGCACGCCCGGCGTACGTACGTTAAACCCTACACTTCGGTCAACTTAATTCACAAATCGAATCGAACGGTCAGAACGCTTCGGTAGACTTTCAGCCACTCAGAGTTTGCCAAGTCAGACACTTCAACGTTCGACTCCAAACTCATCGCCCAAGGGCAAAAGCTGACGATGCCCGGAGCTTGCTCCTCATTTCAAAATTGCTTCGCACAGCAGAAAGCCCTTCTCGCGCCACAGAAAGCACGGACCTTCTAGCAAAGACACTTTGGCATTCAGCGAACAGCAAGACGAAGCACGAGACAACTAGCATTCGAAAGGGGCTGGGCCAAGCCTTGAAACGACTTGAGTGCATTCTCTTGGCCTGTGAGAGGCCCGCATCTACAGAAGACCTCTATTCTACTGATTGGCTTCGTCCCTGAAGACCCTGTGCAGGCAAAAGACTGACCAAGTGCTTCTCTTCCCCCCCAGGTATGATACAACACCCTCCAGACACGGCAATTTTGATCAACGCTGAAGCTCTCCGAAAAGCTGGAAAACTCATCTAAAATTGCATATCTTTCACCCAGGTGTTAAATCACAGTGCTTGGATTGCTGCATGATAGCTTTCAGAGAATATTCCGGCTTTTCTTGGTATGCTTTGAGTTTGGTCTGGCCCAGCCCCTAGAACATAGCCCCTTGGGAGCCCTTTCCATAGTTCTATAGGCAGATTAGATTAGTCCTATAGTAGTGGTCCCGGATGTCATTCATCCAATCCGGACAAAACATAAAGACAGCAATAACATCTTAGACGGTAGGCCGGACCTTCTGAATGATTAATTGCATCAATCAATACAAATTGATAGCAACCCACATCCAAGTGTCATACCAATCTCATGTTGCATTTATGCCATACATCCAAAGAGTGAAAGGAAAGGTAGGCATGCATGAAAGGGCTGTCAACTTTCATTCAGCCTGTCCACCTTCCTTTGCCAAACACTCTATTCTGTTCTCATGCTTATTCAACGGATAATCATTGATGGTGGACGGGAGTGCAGAACGGTTTGTCTCGGACCGCATACACGAGAAGGATCATTAGCAAAACATATGATTGGAATGTCTTGCAATTGAACCTGGCTGCTACTGCTTCATATTCTTCTTTCAACAGACAGAAACTAACTGCCTGTTGCTTCTGCTCATTCCCAGATAGTCTCAGGCCCAACTTCCTCTCAATTCTACTCTGGACCCTGAACTGACCTTCTACCGCCAAGAAGACACCAAGCTACTGGGTGTCTTCGAGAGAGCCTTTCTGTGAAAGAGGCCTCCAATCCCTCTCTGCTGGCTTCAGTCTGCAATCACAGGTCAGTGCAGGCCTCAAAATTACTGACTGATTAATGGTTATATCATGGAAAAGTTTCACTGTACTCAAAGAGATAAACTGCTTTATTACAATCCAGATCGGAAACCAACCGATCTTAATTCACCCTGGCTGTTGATTCCCTTCGTCAATCAGTAATTTAACCTAATTGACCTCAGAAAGCTGAAAGCCGAGCTTGAATATATAAATCCGTATGAGAACCTTCAGATCCGGTGGCTCTATCCTGAGCCACCACAAAAGCTCAGTCAATCTCAATACAAAGCAACTCTGGACGGAGTTGACTTTGACACATGGATCAATGAAATTATTCCCAGGTTTGAAGACTTCACTATCGCTTGTCATTGTCAGAAGGAACACACTGCAGAGACACGCTTCCAAGGCCATCTGGCAAGCGGTAACCTCGATGCCTTGATCTCTAATCCCATCATTCTAGATAGACTTAAAAGGGGACCCATGTTCCGGAAAACCACCAACGGGGATCCCAAACTTGCTTCCCAAGTACTTGAAACAGCCCTTCGTGAACTCACTGAAAGAAAACGAAACCCAGACAGCCATCGCTGGGCCTCCAAACTCCTTCGAAGCTTTAATGACCATGTACAGAAAATGTTACGTCAGAATGAAATCGGGGAAATCAACCTCGAAAAACTCTTATTTCCAGCTCCCGGCAAGCTTTCCGACCACCAGGCGGAACTAGAGACCTTTCTTGACAAATATGTCATTCTTCCAGCCGACAAATGCAGAGGAAATCACTTCGTAGTCTGCAAGAATCTTTATATTAAGCAATGTGTAATCACCCTGCACAAAGCTCCTGAGTATCAACGACTCACCCTCTCACGGGATGAACTTGTTACCAAGCTGCTCGACCAAATCTCATGTCTTGTTCATCACACGCACTTGAATACATTATTCCAGGAAGAAACCAGCGAGCTTCCATACTTTTACACCCTTCCTAAACCACACAAAACACCAATAGGATGGAGACCAGTCGCGGCCACTCACCGCTCAGTCCTGGCAGTTCCACAAAGGATCCTCACGCAAGCCCTCTCTCTGGTTATGCGCACCTTAAGAGACTTTCACGCAGAAGAGTTTCGCACCACCAAAATTCGTAAGTATTGGATTGTAGAGAACAGTCTAGACATCATCCTCTCCCTCCCTGAACACCTCGTCCACATGGTATCATCGGACATCGACTCCATGTACCAAACAATGGACCAATCCAATGTTATAGAGCAACTTCGCGGAGAAATCTAGGGCTGCTTCCATTGCTGGAGCCGATTCTTTCTTCATAGCCATAGGTACCACAGTCCTAGGAAACAAAATAGACGATAGCACCTGGTTCAGTACTGAATCAGGACTGGACCCCACGACCAAAACTCTTCCCAGTGAAAAGGAACACTGTAGCGAAGGCACGGTGTATCCAATTCAGAACATCCTTAACATCCTCGACTTTCTGGTGCGAAATTCATACGTTTCCCTTGGAAACGCAATCTTCCACCAGATAAATGGCATCCCACAGGGAGGACACTCTAGCGGTTTCCTTGCCAACCTGACATGTCATGCACACGAGCGTAAGTGGGTCGAAAAATACCCCTGGCACTCGTTACAGTATTTAATCTTTCGCTATGGATGACTTCGGAATTACAAACGCAGAATACTTTCAACGAATGTACCAGGACATTTACCCTGAAAGCACCGGCATCAAACTGGTGCCTAACAAAGTCAAACCTCATCCAAATCGCCTGCTCGAATGCAAACTCCTGGACACCCTGATCTTTGTCGATCTCCAAGGGGAAGTCCACGTCACCCTCCATGACAAGAGGAATGACTACGAATTCTTTGTCAACCGCTTTCCAGATATTACTTCGAATGCTAGTACTGCACAGTCGGTCTCTTCTTTTTACGGAGAAATCGTCAGACTGTTCAGACTAAACACTCATTCGGAAGGCTTCTTCGACAACGTCGGTGACGTGGCAGCCTACCTAATCAAACACAAAAACTACCCCAGGCAGGAACTCTGCACTACCTTTTCCAGGTTCCTTAACACCCAAGTCTACAACCCGCGACTAATGGGAAACAAAAAGGACCTGGAACTCATCTTTAAATTCACACTTGATCAAAAGCTCCGGGACAGCTAACCTTGTACTTGATTACAGGCAGCATGTATACGTACCCATACGGCGCCCCCGCGTATGCCGTGATGACGACAGCACTTCCACCACAACCGACGCAGCTGCCTGCACAACCACCGGCGGCCCCACCTCCAACGGCTCCGCCCTACCTCTACGCGCAACCGACGGCAGCTCCGACACCCGCGGCGCAAACGGCCTTCCTTCCTCCACCTCCGGCTCCAGCACCCCCCCAGCCTGCCACGTACGCCGTGACGTCATATGCGGCGCCACAGGTTCAACCGTACCCCCAGTCAACACCTCCCCCGCAGAACGCCCCGGCCCCGCAGCAGTACGCCCCGACTGCTCCCCAGGCGTATCAACCAAACGGACCCCCGCCTCACCAGTACCCACCTCCCGGTCAGACACACTCCGCACCCCCACAAACCTTCCAGAACCCTCCGCAACCGAATCCCCCAAACGGCGGTTACGGTCGGCCGAACAGCCAGTGGGACACGGAACCTCCCCGCTGGAACCCGAATCCCAACTGGCAAACCGGAAACGTTACAGGACCTCCCAGCGGTACCAACGGACCGCCAAACTGGAACCGGAACACGACTCCCCCCCCAAACGCACGAGTCGAGCTCTACCCAGCCCGAGGCCCTGCAAACAACGACTTCCCCCCCCTGCAACCACGACAGGCTTATCCCCAGCAGTTCGCACCCCCACAGAGAAACACAGGCCCACAGTGGAACGGCGACCGGCAGCCCGTCAACGAGACGGCAAGACCCAAACCGGAAGCACCCTCCGGCGGTCCAATCCGGCACGCCCCCCGTCAGCAGAATCCACGGAGCAGCGGAACGCGCCCCCCGGTTACTACACCGTACGAGAAACCCGCCGCCAAAGCGACCGTCCTACGGCAGTCGGTGATGCCCTATTTCACAACCGTCCAAGGGGAGTTCACGCAGCTATGTGTCAACACAGCTCAGGATAAACCCTGCACCGAACCCAAGTGCAAATTTTCCCACGCCCCCAAGCACGAACGACCATGCCCTGCCTTCCACACGCCAAAGGAAAAGTGCTCCTTTGACAGCCGGTGCCTACTCGGTCACGCAAAAGCACGTGAGGCGGTTAGGCAATCCAAAGCCTTCGCACGACACAAGGAATGGCAGTCTCAGGTTAAAACTACCCCCGGAACGTACGGAGATAACGAAGTCGCAGAATCCGGAACCGGAAAGGAAACCCTCCCCAAACCCCGTAACGAACTCGCCCTGGAACCAGCCCCGAACCCGCAAAACAACACCGGAAATCCGGCAGTTCCGGCGGCTACGGAAAACACTCCTCCAACGGCACCCCAGGGCCCTAACCCACCTGAAGGGATCCCCCCGCCGGCCAACTCAAACCTCGACAATAACCCAGCGGTTAACTTCCAAACCCTGGCCCAACAAAGCACCAAACGCGGACAGGAAGACGAACTTCTCCGCCTTTCCCTCCTAACCCAGGCGCTCCAAGCAGACGTCACCAACCTCCAAAAGGCCCAGGACTCCAAGAACGACGAAATGCGGACGCTCCAGACGGCCATGGGCTCCATCCAGGCGGAGAACACCACTCTCCGTCAAGAGAACGAAAGTAACTCTCCACTCCTTGATTCTTTCTACTCGCACGTGTTCGGAGTTACTTCAAAGACAAGGCAGCTCATTGATCTCAATGCCTCTCAGCCTTCGGAGAAAGCTCTCGAAGGACTTCTGGTCATCACGTCAATAATGTATCGCCGTCCAAAGGAACTAGACGGAGGGCACACTTTTCTGAATCTTTTTACAAATCGGCCCACCACTCGCTTTTCCGCAGAAGTCCCCACTCTGCAATCATTAGGTATGACAGAGAATAATTCCGAGCATAGCTTCTTTATCACCTGTTATATGTCCTTTCCGATTGACCCGTCATTTGCTTTAAATGGAAACGTGGAACACGCGTCCAATGTTGTCAGTCTCCCACCAGGCGGCGCATGCCCACCCCGGGCATCAGTTCTCAAAAACGCACCTAAACGGTTCAAAAAACTCTTCCTCTCTCAATCAGCCACACGTGCCGTTACAACGGTGGCTAACCCAGATCTTAACCTCGCTGCTGACGGGGGGCTATCACAGCACGATAGCCTACCCCCCCAACTAATGCAACCTCATCGCACGGTTTAGCTACAACCCGACTTTTAAAAACCCCACGGTTCCGCTCATTTCACAATTTGTAATGTTTGTTCAAAACGGACTCACAGAATTAGATGCCTGCCTGCTGAAATACGTGTCTCCGGTTTATAATTCATGTCCCCTGAATCTCCGGACATACAAAAACGGCAGGTCAGAAGTGGTCAAAAACACTGACCACCCGGTTTACGAGAAATGGGACTCTTTAATTAATCGTACTCATTTTGATCCCGCTTATGCCACCACCCGCCTCACGTTCGGTTGGAAAGGGTTTTACCTACCAAAAGGCAAAATCTCTAGCCAAAGAGATAAATATGCTTTCTTCGCCTTTGCTTACGTCACAGACCTGATCCTCGGAGCGTTACCACTCTGGCCGTTAGAGGCATCTTCTCAATTCCAATTGGATCGCAAAGACCCACTACGACATTATACAATCGATAACGTCAGGTGGCTCAGCAAGTCTGACAACATGGCTAACAAACCGTCGACCGGCAAACACACCGGTTCGCACTTCAAAACAACTAAGGACGTCATCAGATTGTTACACTCGTGCGAGCGTAACAACCTGATTACCTCGGAAATCCTTGGAGCGCTCACAAAAGGCTACGGGACGTAAGTAGTTATCTGATGGGTTCCGGGTTGACACTCAACCACGGAACGGGTGGTGGCGGGCCATTAGAAACCAAGCACACTTGACCCTCGGAGTGTATCTTCTATTTTTCACCGCCTTGCACAAGCGTGCGAGGTTTCTAATGCAACTGGACACACCTCAAAAACAGGGGTTAATACATTGGGTGTAAAACTCAAACTCTTGCCGCTCTCCAGGGCTTTCCGCTCTGATTGCCAAGACTGCCAAGGCAGACGGTGTAGCCACGCGCCGCAACAAGAAATCCCCCCAGGACACCTCCGCCGGCGGCAACTCAGCCGCTCTCGCGGGCGCATCGGGTGCGAACAGCGCGGCGCACGCGCCCGGCAACGCCGCGGCCGCCTCACCACCGCATGACGTCAGCACGCCCGGCGTACGTACGTTAAACCCTACACTTCGGTCAACTTAATTCACAAATCGAATCGAACGGTCAGAACGCTTCGGTAGACTTTCAGCCACTCAGAGTTTGCCAAGTCAGACACTTCAACGTTCGACTCCAAACTCATCGCCCAAGGGCAAAAGCTGACGATGCCCGGAGCTTGCTCCTCATTTCAAAATTGCTTCGCACAGCAGAAAGCCCTTCTCGCGCCACAGAAAGCACGGACCTTCTAGCAAAGACACTTTGGCATTCAGCGAACAGCAAGACGAAGCACGAGACAACTAGCATTCGAAAGGGGCTGGGCCAAGCCTTGAAACGACTTGAGTGCATTCTCTTGGCCTGTGAGAGGCCCGCATCTACAGAAGACCTCTATTCTACTGATTGGCTTCGTCCCTGAAGACCCTGTGCAGGCAAAAGACTGACCAAGTGCTTCTCTTCCCCCCCAGGTATGATACAACACCCTCCAGGCACGGCATTTTGATCAACGCTGAAGCTCTCCGAAAAACTGGAAAACTCATCCAAAATTGCATATCTTTCACCCAGGTGTTTAAATCACAGTGCTTGGATTGCTACATGATAGCTTTCAGAGAATATTCCGGCTTTTCTTGGTATGCTTTGAGTTTGGTCTGGCCCAGCCCCTAGAACATAGCCCCTTGGGAGCCCTTTCCATAGTTCTATAGGCAGATTAGATTAGTTCTACAGTAGTGGTCCCGGATGTCATTCATCCAATCCGGACAAAACATAAAGACAGCAATAACATCTTAGACGGTAGGCCAGACCTTCTAAATGATTAATTGCATCAATCAATACAAATTGATAGCAACCCACATCCAAATGTCATACCAATCTCATGTTGCATTTATGCCATACATCCAAAGAGTGAAAGAAAAGGTAGGCATGCATGAAAGGGCTGTCAACTTTCATTCAACCTGTCCACCTTCCTTTGCCAAACACTCTATTCTGTTCTCATGCTTATTCAACGGATAATCATTGATGGTGGACGGGAGTGCAGAACGGTTTATCTCGGACGGCATACACGAGAAGGATCATTAGCAAAACATATGATTGGAATGTCTTGCAATTGAACCTGGCTGTTGCTGCTTTATAGCCTTAGGTACCCTCGATCTTCTCCACAATTGGCAGTCCGCCAGAGTGTGGGAAGATTTTAAACGCTTGTCTCAGCCGAGTGGCGGCATGTGCATGTGGTGCCTGAAGCGCTGGAGTTTCTCTTGAATACAAATATAAAAAATACAAATATAAAAACCCCCAGACCAATTAATGGCCGGTGACATGACCGGTGCATTACGTCATGGCAAGTGGTTCCACAGGCTGCATGAAACTCGTTTCAATCTGTGATTGAATGCAACATATTACTTACTGGTAACGCTCCAGATTAGGGTTCCGAGCACATTTCTCGTCTGCTGATTTCTCTCCCTCTTCCGAAGGTCTCTCAATGTCATTGTCATGAACACTGATGAGTCTCTCCAGAAGAATGGCGTGTCTGACTTTCATGGCAAATTCACGAAAGGTATGCAGTGGCATGGCGCATTCAAAGCCAGCGGATTGCTCTAAGGCATTTGATACCGGCAATATGCCTCTCATTTCCTTTTGTGCGGGCTAGCGCCTGGACATGGTGGAGCCAGCCATTCATTGGGTGGAAATCATTAGGAATGTTGAGCAGTTTTGCACAGCAAAATGCACGTATCAAAAAAGGAAGCTTTTCAAAGGTGTTCAACTTTGCTAAGCTTGCATGTTGCAGCTCAGGCCATCAAAAGAGTTGGGGGAGAGATCACAGAGTTGCTTCCGCTTGGTCAGAGTTCTGCTCATTTGGATTATGCTGCAAGAAGGCCCGGTGAAGAAGCTCAAAACTTGGCCCAATCTTCAAACAAGGGCGATACAGTCACTTAGGCTTGAGATGTTTTTGGAGATGCAAACATCTTTGAAGGCAGTGTGAGGATCTGCTGAAAATCCTGATCAGACCATCCCACAGCAAGCGGCCACGCAACAATCTGGCACAGCCATCTTCTTACTGAACACGATTGGCAAAGATTGCTGATAATGGTTCCTCTGTGCATTCTCCTGCAGAATGAGCAGAATTGACAGGGAAGAGAAGGACATCTTCACAGGTCCCTAACATCACACGGTCTACTTTTCTTCATCTCCTCAGGGGAATTCATGTTGAGGGGGACTGGTGCCATGCAGGTCAGCTTCTAGCACGACGTCACAGCAGAACCCCTTGTTGACAAAAACTTGGCCTTTCGTGCCTGTTGCCGGGATTACAACATGTACGCATAACATTTTGCATGTTGTACTCCAATCCTCTGTACTTCGTGACTAGCAGAAGGATGTGAGAGTCATTGAATATAATCCGAGCAAGTTAAAAATCTACATTGACAATCGCACACGCTGAAGGATTGAATGGAATAGAGGTAAGCTGTAATCAGAAAGGTGCGTTTGCTACACACTATTCTTTTATCTTCGTTGAGGAGCCCATGTGCTTTGCTATTGCAGCTCTCATCTTCGAGCTCTTCGCTGCTTCTTCTTAACTTCTCTCACTTTTATTATATATCGTTTCCTAAATGGTTTGTCTTCGCGTCTACATGATTCAGTCAGCCTTTTTGGTGCCTGTCGGCTTGTTTCTATGGCATATTCTGTTCAATCCAATGGGATTGCTCAAGCGACAATCAACTGGCTTGGTAAATCTCACTGTGAACTAGCTCAAGTGTTTTGCATGGCAGGTCAAAGCTCGATTTTATTTCGTATACAGCAGATGTCAGACTCTTGTGCGGCGCATCTGACGGTTCTCCCACCTCCCTTGCTGCAGATCTTGGAAGAGGAGGTCATGGAGGCGCCCTTCAAAGAGGCCGCTGCCGTGATCTCCATTGGGACCGTAGACCTCTTCCCAGGAACCTGGGCGTCATGCTGTGCGACCAGGTTAGCTCGCTCTCCAAGTACCGTGCGCAGTCCTCGACTACCTGCGCTCCCAATCTGACAATCCTCATGGGGGAGCTGGTCGACGCACGCCTGATCGCGCACGCGGGGAGCTTGATGCAGCTGACCAAGCAACCCGCAAGCACCATGCAGAATTCTGTCATGAGGTCTTATGTCGATGCGA